ACTCTTGAGACGGAAAGGTGGGCACGGAGTTGCTTGTTTTTGTGCTCTTCACTACATCCTCGATGCTCTTGAACCTCTCCAAGTCGCTCGTTCCCTTCTACTTTGGAACTAAGTTGCTCGTCATGTTGAGTTCCCCAGTTAGACAGACATAACTGGAGCATTCGGAGAAATTCTTTCCGTTGAGCGTGAATGCAGCATACGAAACCAATCCCCTTCTCATGAACATCGTTTTCGTGAGATTTAGCCGAAGACCAATCTTTCCATAGACTTTATCAAAGTCGGAAAGTATATTTTCCATATAGCTAATGTTTGGTGTTATAAGACGATGTCATCAGCAAACCCAAGGTAGTGTAACTGCCGACCATCGATTTTCACTCCCATATTATGCCATTCCAATGTTTGGATGACGTTCTGGAAGGGTGACGGTAAATAATTTTGCGAAGATGGTACCGCCCTGCCTAACCCCTCTCTTGACATCAATGTTAATACCGTTGTGGAATGGTGATATCTTGGTTGTGAAATTCTTTTGGTACAAGCCACAAAGAATCTTTGTGTACTGAGTAGGGACTCTTTGACACTGAAGAGCTTGCATGACTGCTTCTATCTCAATTGAATCAAAGGCCTCCTGTAAATCTATGCAAGTGAGATAAATCGGTCTTTTGTACTCTCGCCATGCTTCAATGAGTCTCGCTATTGTGTGGATGTAGTCAATCGTACTAAATCCTTTTCGAAACCCTGCTTGCTCACATGGCTGTATTTCGTCCAGTGTTACGTCAGTCCTGTTTAGAACGACTCGAGTGAAATGTTTGTAGACGATAGACAGCAAGCAGATTAGGCGATAGTTGCCTATATCGTGTTGTTCACCGTTCTTGAACAATAACACGATCTTCCACAGAGTAGGTACCTTGCATTCAGACAGGTAACGTGTGAAGGGTCAAGCCAGTTTTGTTTACGAGGACTGGCGGAAGGTTCTTCAGGTGTTCAGATCTTATCCTGTCCGGTCCTGGTGCTATTCTATTTTTCACCGACGAAATGGCGTGTCCGATTTCGAAAGGGAAAACCGGTATTTTCTCCATTGCCTTTTTGGACGCTGCAACTGTTCCGTCTGGGCACCAGAGTGCAATCATTCTGGTCTTGTAATTGGCGAAGCTTCGGTGGGCTTTGCGAATGCTTTTCCCAACCTCCGCAGCTTTGGCCATTACTACTGCTCCTCTCTCTCTAAGATCATCTTTTATCACCTTTCTGCATTGTTTGCAAGTTCGGACGTTAGTTCGCGGTTGCCTACAGCTCGTGCGATTCTACACCAGCACATCAGCCTAAGCGTTTCTGGAGACAGACGTCTTTTGCGACTTTCGAACTCTCACCTTCATAGCTCTAACCCGAAGATGTTGAATGAGCCGTTCGTATTCTTCGTCGATGTTATCGACATCTTCTAACAGCCGAGTAATGAATTGAATTAGTCCCAGTTTACGGCGGTTCTGCGACTTCGGTTTTCGAATTTAGCCACATTTTCTTTTTTTCTGCGAGAAATAGAGTCTTGCACGAAAGAGACTGTGGTCTGATACCGTGTAGAATTTTGGGGCAGCACCGACATTAGTTAGGCAAAATATTCTATTTACTATAATGTCTATTTCGTTATGATACTCTCCACTGGGAAATTTCCATGTGCAGCATTGAAGGCGGAGGTTCTGGGGCTGCGAGTTACCATGGATGGTCTTGGTCACCATGATAAACTCAAAGAGCCGCTCACCGTGTTCGTTCCATTCTAATCCGCGGATTCCGATGTGACGTTCTTCAGACCTTTTTCTTAGTCCATTCTTGGCGTTCAAGTCTCCAATGATTGAAAATCTTGAAGAATGCGTGGTCTTCTTCTCCAGAAACTTCTCCAAGTCCATATAGAACGCTTCGGCTTCTTTTTTATCATAGTTTGATGTCGGCGCATAAACGACGAAGGTTGTCAAAGCCGGAATTGATCCACGTCTTTTTAATCCTAAACGTCCGATGCGGGTTGCAAGTTGTTCGAATGAATCGAAGTTCATGGACAAAAAACTCGTGTTGACGAGAACGCTGACGCCGCCGACTTCTCCGCTGTCGCATATTCCGAGGAACAGTTCTTCTCTGGTGTCATAGACGGCATTGAAAGGCTGCCGTCTTCTCGTCTCGGCCAGATCGAAAAAGTCGTACCTTATCCTTCTTTCTTACATGAGCAAGTCTTCTATCTAGGACTCAGATGTAAGTGTACGTGCATTGTAAGTACAGATTGTCACCTTGGTTCTTCCTGATCCAGGCAGCTTCCACTGGCCCTGAGATTTTAGCACCCTCTCCGTACTCGTTCTATCTAGCGCTGCTGAATTGGGGCTCTTTCGGGGTCAGGAGAATGAGGACAATTTTTTTACTGCGTTCAACTTTTTTGGTACCCACATATAGCTTGCTAGGCTCTCTACGGGAGGCTGAGTATACTCGCGGGTGCCTTGCCAGGCTCTCCCAGAGTCTACATGGAGCTTATCTGTTGAAGGCGACTCCTAACCGTCTCCCATTTACTTATACTTCCCTGTCACTTGATTGCTGGCTTTTGGCCGAATTGACTCCTAGAATACAATCCGCATAAAGTAGAACGCACGCATCGCGTGTATGAATACGCCTCGTTAATACAGAATGTACGTGACAAATCTGCTTATCAAAAACAAGGTGGGGATCAACATGCGTCTCAGAGAAGGAAAGGTCGCTTTTGGTCCGTGATTAATCCTCTGTCTACCACCTGGAGACGCCTCGAATAGCCTCGCGACTGACAGGTTAACAGAAACACTCATATGGGGATAATCCGTGGAAAGCCGTGCTATTTTTCAAGAGAGTGCCCTCCACGGAAACGGCAACAATGGCCTAAGCTGCTTGCTGTCTGCCGTCTACAAACTCTTCACTCAAGTCGTCCTGAACAGGATTTACAGAACACTGGACGAAGGGCAGCCATGGGAGCAAGCAGGGTTTCGAAGAGAAATTAGTACATGGACCACATCGACACGGTAGCACGGCTCATTGAGGTATCGCGAGTGTACAAAAGCCTTCTGTCTCACTTTCATCGATTTGCAGAAGGCCTTTGATTCAGTTGAGATAGAAGCATTCATGGAAGCCCTTGATAGGCAGGGAGTCTCTACTCAGTACACAAAGATTCTTCGTGACTTGTACAAAAATTTCACAACCAAGATATCAGCATTCCACAGAGATATTAACATTGACGTCAAAGGAGGAGTTAGGCAAGGCGATACCATTTCGCCAAAATTATTTACCGCCACATTCCAGAACGTCGTGCGAACATTAGAATGGGATAATATGGGAGTGAAAATCGATGGCAGGCAGTTACACCACCTTGGGTTTGCTGATGACATCGTCCTTATAACACTAGTAACATTAGCCAAACCGAACTTATGCTAGCCGACTTTGATGAAGCCTGTGGAAAGATTGGTCTTCGGCTAAATCTCACGAAAACGATGATCACGAGGAACGGAGTAAGAGTCGGTGATAGAGAACTGGCGCTTCCTCCGTAGACATGAAAGCGATGGTAAGGTTTAGCGCTAATCGATCTCACAAGGCCAGCCTTCTAATTTGTGAAAAATATCTTTCCGACTACCTGAAGATTGAACATGTAAGGCTCTGTTTTAAAAGAGTCATTAGTTGTTGAATCGACAAGCCATATTTCCTTATCATTTTCTAAAAATAACTTGAGTACGGCTTGCATTGCGGAGTCATTTAACACATTGGTGTAAAATGAAATATCATTGTTCAATACATGTTTCTCACAAGCGCCCTTTTCGTGTGAGAGGGATGAGAGAAGAGGTAATTAACTAGGATGTTTTTTACTACTTGGCTTTCGATACCACTTCGTAATGTAGCCGTTTTCTGATAGCCTAATTTGCACGTTCAAAAATGGAAGCCAGTCTTCTTTTGGTTTCCCTCGGGTGAATTTAATATACTCTGACTGTGTGTTCAACAACTCGAAACATCTGTCGATTTTTTCTTGCGTTGAACAAATGACCAAGCAGTCATCTATATATCTACAGTAGAGTAACGGACCGAGGTCGATTACTGGCGCTTCCACCTTAGACATGAATGCAATGGTAAGGATTGGATCCAGTCGTTGTCCCATTGCCAGCCCTCTCATTTGTGCGTAATACCTCCCGGACCATCTGAAGATTGAGCAGTTCAGGCACTCCTTTAAGAGTGTCATCAACTGCTGAATCGAAAAGCCGTACATGCTTATTGCTCCTTCCTGTTGTATAAGGAGCTCGTTTATGGCTTGCATAGCGGAGTCATTCGACACTTTCGTATAGAGGGCTGTGACGTCGAAGGCCTTCACCACGTACGCGCTGTTGGGTCGCGCGTTACGTAGATGATCCAGGAACATTTGGGTGTTCGTTAGATGAGCTGGAATGTACTTCAACAGCTGAGTAAGTATTAGGGTTATTAACCACGTTAACGTCAACTTGACCCTTCCAGGCTCTGAGGAAGGCGAAATCCGCCGAAACGTCAGCTTGTGCGTAAATAAAGAAATAAAATAGCACCTCGTGTTTGCTGAACAGAAGTAGAAAGATATATACAATATAAAGAGTTTTTTGCTCTCAGTTCTTTACTTCTAAACTCCATCATGCTGGAAACCCTAGTCGTGAACTATAGAGTCTATCTTGCTGTTCTCCTCAGATGTTGGATGGCCAACAGAAGTAGACAGTACGGCTGTAGAATTACTGTCTTCATTTTTGTGCCCTAGAAGCCAGAAAGTCTCCATCACGCCTTTACCCTAAATGAATGAGTTGTAACATTGAATTTTGAAAATATTGGACACCTTTTACAAAATGGATCACCGAAAAAGGAACACAGTATTTGGGTGCTTTAAATGGCTTTTTTAAATCGGCCTTTTCTAACAGAGAAGTATCTGTCCTAGTTCGATGATACTTTGTCTACTAACTGATTATTATTAAGAAGATATCAAGAACTTTCGAGAAAGCAAATCAAGGCGTACCCACCTTTATAATCAACTCCCCTCTGGATGTCACTTCGAATCCTCCAACCTCAAATAGCAAATTCTTTGCATCAAGTGATAAATGGATCATACCCGCTGGAATTACAACAGTAGCTAAATCTATACAAATCACAACATGTTAACATTTCTAATTTATATTATGCTTTTAAAAAAGACATAAGAACGTCTGAATAAGAAAAACTTGAAAACAGAACGTTTTCCGTTGCTTTGGATTCTACTGGCTGTGTTCACGGTGTCACCGAACAGACAATATCGAGGCATCGCTAGACCCACGATTGCTGCTACAACGGAACCTAGAAACAAGCTGATAGAAAGCGTTAGATTATACACAGTCCCGTAATAAGTTTTTGCGGTAAAATTTTGGATTAGAATCAGCATAACTCCAATCTTTACCAAACATCACCATTAATTTCAATTATGCTGATATTTACAAAACTCCGAACCGCAGGTGCTTGCGGTGGGAAACGAACGCACTATTGTTCTTTCCGGGGAGTAACGCATTCACCACCACACCATGCAGGTCCTTCGTTTCGCTTGTCTCTCAGCTAGTTTTGGGTTCTTTGCCGATTTGAGCTCCCCAGATCAATCCCGCCAACGAGTGATTGCTGATGGCAAAAGATCGATAGAACTAGTTGAGAGACAGGCAAAACGAAGGACCCGGATGGTGTGGTGGTGAAGTGCGCTACCCCTGGTAAGGATAATAGTGCGTTCGTTCTCCACCGCAAACACCTGCTGTTCGGAGTTTTGCAAATATCTCAGTATTGTTAAAGTTATATTTCCTAATATACTCTGCTATTAAAAAGATTGGGCAATACATGAAACGGTTAAGATCACCACCAATATTTGGATAACTCTAAAAAACCCGGTTTAAAAAAAGTTCGCCGACACCTTCACACTGTTCATTCATGTTCTTCACTAAGCATTTTAAAACAGATCAGTAGTTATACTGGCGTATGTTCGACAGCAATTTCTTTGACATGGAGACGAGGTAGTTAACGACTGAAGTCGAGGCAGCAATGGTCCACATCTTTACAATCGCAAGCACCCGAATGAGAGTTGTTTAGAAGAGTCGATTGGGTAAGCGTTGATACAACATCGAATTTTCAAACCACTCTTGTGTAGAAAATTGCAGTTGTTCTTTCTTATTATGAACGGTGTTCATTTGGTAGGGGCTTCGCTCACTCCTTAAGTAGGACAAAGAGTAGCTATTTTCTTGTATTTATTGGTAACGAAAATGGGACTCCTATCAATGGGTATCCATAGATTTTTGTTCTATGTGATGCTGTTGATTACTATTAAATTATGGAGGACGACCACCTGGACAGTCTGCTGTGACCAAGAGCTCAACTCGGCTGAATTCGGTGCAGAAGTAATAGGGAATGAATACTTGGATGAAAGCTCATCAGATATCACCCAGAACTTAGCGCTTTTATTTGTGCTTTACAAAATAAAAAAACTTTTCTTTAACTTCTGCATGACTGATAAACGTGTGTTCTTTCATTGATAAGCCAACGCAACATTGATAAAGGACTTTATTCGGGTTAACGTTTCGATGTCTTCGCCTTCCTCAGAGCCGATGTGAAATATTGATTCGCTATGGGATAATTGACATTTATACTGTCTTATGCAGAATGGATTGTTTGGCGAAAACAAATTATTTATGCCGGACAATCACTGTCAACAACAACCTTATAGAAAAGAGCATCGCCGGGTGAGGTTGCCTCATTCGGGCGGCGCTCCACTGAACTAGATCCGACTCGGTACGACGGCTAGTACACCATATCATGAATACGAAGGATTGTGGATAATGACTCGGACCATCGGTTTTAAAAAAGACGAAAGTCGAAACGCCACCTGAATAAAGTTGTTTACCAACCTTGCGTCAGTCCCTCGGTGAAAGAATACTCTTATTTATTTCGTGGTTTAACAACCGCACCAACAGTGGTGGATAAATTGTCGTGTGGGTTCCGTAGAGACATGAAGACCTGTAATCTTTTCTCGCCTAAACGTCGAGCCAGTCAACCGTGGCTTTCCCTAGAATCCTAAGGCAACCATGCTAAGGCGAGCCCAGGTCTCATTCAAAATGAGTAGCTGGCCTTTACGATCCATGCGATATATCCATGCGTGTGTGCGTGGATGTGTTTTCGTTAATGTGGAGTATATTCTTCGAGTAAATCCGGCCAAAAGCTAGCAATGAAGAAACTGGGAAATATACAGGAAGCTGTTAGTAGTTGCGCTCAGCAAATAAGCAAATAAGGGATTGCTGAGATTTCAGTGTCATTATAGATTGCCAAAATTTCGACGGATTGAGATGAAACGGCATGGCTCACCTGCATCTGAGGCCTTCCTTGAAAATATGATGATGCATCCTAAGAAGGTTAGGTGCGACGCTATCAAACTGGACAAGACGAAAACACTCCATTCATCTCACGCCATCTATCACATGAAAGAATTCTCTCTCAGAACTTTCCACAGACAGAAGGCAACGGCGTGGGCAACGACATTAGAAACACAGGTTTTTCTATGAACATTGACTCTCTTGAACAACTAATGACCCAAATCACGGCTGAAGACATGAGGAACAATATCGACATGGATACTTAGATGGTCCATCTTCATTGGTTGTGCGAGCACATCATAATTTCCATTCTCTGGAGAGTTGCTGGTTTAGCCATTGTGATTCGCTGGAATTCCGAAGACAGCCTGGCCAAAGTCTACTCCAGGTCGTCACCACCACAGGCAGTCCGCCGCCCTTGTGGATCAGAGAGAGATTTACCACCATGAAACTAGTTTGATACCAGAACGGTGGTGGATCCTGGTATTGGTTTACTCTTAGCGGCGCATCCTGATGGAAACGCCGAACTCCTCAGCTTGGGGAACTTGCCGAGGAGACGAATCCTACCGCTGTACATCGCAACCCGGCACGAAGGAACAACTCCCACCGACGATGAGGCGGTAAACAGTTGAGAAGATTGCAAAGCTACAGCAAATACAAGTTAGAACTTCTCTACATTGATAGAAAAAACCATATTTCATAAAAAGCCGTTATTTATCAAATCAACACCATGACTGAAACGAAGAGATTTCTTGAGGAACTTCACACTAAGGTCTACAAAATAAAATAAATAAGGTGGAGGAATCTTTAAATTTAACACGACAACTGAGACACCACTTGTAACAAAACTCCACACAGAAGTGGACCATCGCTTAATTCGTACAAAATTTTTTTTGAGAGATTAGAGGAAGCCGAAAAATTTTTGACATGAAGTGCAAGAACACACCGCAAACTGTAATTTATTCGTTATCCCGCTTTTGGATCGATTCCGCCACCAGAAACAGTGATGAACACAACAAGTATATCTTTCACAATATGCTTAAAAAAAGCAAAAGGTTAAAATTCAATTAAATCTTTTTGTTCGATAAATTTTTGAGCCGAAACACCTGACGATCAACGGTGCCAAAGGTGATGCAAATGACATGAGTCATATTCAGTGAGTGTCTGTCTTGAACCTTGATTTAGTCTTAGCCTTCGTTTTAGGATAAGCTCTCAATCACATTCATGTCGAATACATATTTTTCACAGGTTATTGTCATTTATCTCACTTTGCGTGCAAAATCAAACTCGATCTGTGTGCACTCCAATTCTGTGGTTGATTTTGTCATTTGGTAAATGTGGTATGCTGAAATTCGCAAGGCTCTTTATGAATTCAAGCGACATGCTGCAGATCTCCTTGATATGTTCGTGGCCATTTCTGTTAGGCAATCCACTCACGCAGAGGTAACTATCGCCAATAGTCTCGACCTTTAGAAAAGCACGGAAAAAACAATTATTTACTAAACAATAGAGAAAGTAGAAAACAGTAAAGCAAGACAAATATACGCACTCACCTTGCATACATCATGGCTATCGATTATGCTGTCGAAAATGGTGTACAGATGGTTTAGTAAGTTAACAACCTTGGACAACTAGTATTATACGAGGAAAATAGCAATATGCCTTTTTTACAATGCAAATATATCTTTAAACATAAGCTAGCAGAAGGCGGACGAGCCAGTTCAAAATATCCTAATTAACACCATGAATGCAGCGGTCGGAGGAATCCAGCAACACACACGTGGAATCCATCCTCGCGCCCATAACCCACCAAGCCTTCGATACCTCCGGGGTCAGCAAATTGGAGCCAGACTTGTCTGGGAGGATAGCAGCACTGACTCGATAAATCGGTAGGCCACTGTGAGTCATTAGTGAGTAAAGGCTAGATATGCATCTAGTCACCTCCGAAAACGATGCTTAATGAAGTAGAATGCATGGTGCTTCCCTCAGGAATTGATCAGCGGCGAGAGCTTTATCCTTTTTTATCCTTTTTAACACCATAATCGGACAATTGCCATGTCCTTCCTTCAGACCTAGGTGAACTAAAGGGATGACTCTCTGTTTTGCCACCCCGATTTAGCACATAACTTTTGCGTTTACCTAATCATCTTACATGCGAAGTATGTTTTCGTTAATGCAGATTGCACTCTACAAGTCCATTTGACCACATGCCTTTAACAAAAGAGTGAAAAGCATATGGGAAAATTTTGGGAGTCGCATATAAAAAGTAAGCTTCATAGACATCCTGGAAAACGCCTGTAAGCTGCCCGTGAGTATAGGAATAACGGTATATCAAGGTGAGAGGTGCGAGGACACCGACCAGCTAGTAAGGGTTCTTCACCGAGAACCTATAAGAAAGATATGACGGTGGACGAATCTTCAAAACAAGCAAAACTCAAGCGACTGTGCTTCCAAATGCCGTATACAGATAAAGTATTTACTGGAGCTCACTAGTTTCACCCAACAATCAATGCACCAAAGAGAAAACTTGTGACATCGTGTGCAAATGACATGGTGCACGTTTGAAAAATCCTTAGCGCATGGACAGCTGCTGACTGTGGTCCGAAAACTCACCGCTTCCAGGTTTTTAGATTTCCATCTTGAAAACAAAAACAAAGACGTGTTGTTCCACATTGAAAAAATATGTAAATTCTAGCGGCTTTTCTATGGTCCTTAAAGTTGAGTCTTAGATTAGTTATAGCAATCGCGAGGTTTTTAAACAGCATACATTTACTTCCATAAAAAAAAACACAATACAATACAACGCTAGCTGACGTTT